TCTACTAGACACTAACACACACAATTTCAGTGATATGATATTCCTATTTTATGAGCTGTAAACAATACGCAGTTAATTGTAACATTTATTTATTATCACGGTCATTCAGTATATACGCACCCTGTTTGTTAGTTTTTTCTCATATATTAGAAATAGCTATTCAGTCGTCTATTGATAAGTTTGCCGAGATTTGTTACAAATTTTCATTAAAAATGTTCCCATGGATACTATGGGAATTTCGCAAGGATTGTTTGTTACCTCATTAGTTATTTTTTTATCACAAGTTACGTTCAACTAAACAATGTAACATATAAATGCATGAGAGATTATAACATAAAAGAGGAAAGACTCCAGTATGGACATTTATCTGTGGTGTAAATTAATGATCATTATGAATTGACAGAAGCTGGAAACTGTGAACCACTAGGGACCGGCCCAGTGGCTGAACGGTTAACGCGTTTGCCTTGAAACCTGAAGGTTCTGAATTTGATCCCTAAGCGAGTCGTGGGTGCGTACTGCCAAGGAGTCCCATACTAGGATGAAACAGCTGTCTAGTGTTCCCAGATTTTTAATGGTTCCCCAACTGATGTCAGTTCGTGATCAATACTACCTTTAAATAAAAATCTGTGTGGTTTGGCAAACTTGTATTATTGATACAAGGGTGATATTTGAGGGTGAAATGAAGATCTTAACCGCGACACGGTCCCATCAGGTGACTTCTGGGTTTTGGCTCAGTGATCTACAAGCTGAGCTACAAAAATTAAAGCAGATTCAGTTAATTTTGCCGAGCTACATTCATTCTTTGAGTGATTTGGGGGAATTTTACTATACAGTGTGTGTATGTGCGCGTAGTGCTTACAACATCTTCCTTCATAATACGTTATTACAGTTGCTACCCATCATCTCTGTAAATTTGGTGATTCCCAGAGATTATTCAACACGAGAATAATTTGAGTGAGAAGTTGCTTCCAGTAACTTCTTTCCTCCTGACGCTCTACAGTTATAAATCTATGAGAATAAGTGAAACACAATAGCCAAGCAAGGCATAGGGCAAGATTATTTCAATATTGAAACAGTCAGTGTCATAGGTAAATGGAAATCTAAACAAACAGATATAAGTTTTTATCAGGTGGAATCGTAATCACTCTAGTGTCCCAGGTTGTGCAACAAAATCAATAGGAACAGAACAATCATGATATAAGGAGAACATTTAGAGATAATAATTGATGTATAGACGTCTGTTTGGAGTACAAAAGTATGAATGTTTGTTAACTAAGCATCATTTAAGAGTATTTCTAATGGTGACCCTAACAACAAGTGAAATAACCAATAAGAATTTGCATTTTTATCAAAATTTGCCTTTTCAACCGAAAATTGAAAAATCTAATTTGGCTATTTGAGTCGTTCCTAGGGTAGCCTCAAATAATCATAGAATGAGAAGTCATGGGAATACAATCGCTAAATAATAAATGTGAAGTGTTGCGTAAACTTTATGCCTCTACTTTATCTACCTTGGCTTGCAGTAGGGTTACCACTTTCTTTTAGAACTTTCCTACCTATCATATTTCATCTCATTTCTAATCTACTCTCTTGTTGTAACATTCATATGATCTTTTACCCTTCGTGAATGTAACTCATAGCTATATAGTGATTATCTAATCCATAGAAACACAAATAAATGTTTGTTTTTTTTAGATGAATGGGGATTTTTAATTTGGAGATAGTATTTATCACTGGCTGACATCATTTGGAGAATCATTAAAAATCTGGGAGCACTTGACCGGGATGAATACCTCTAAATTAAAAATCATTATTCATCTCAAAAATTCATTACTGTATAGTGCTCATTAGTGACATGCTTCCAGATGAAAATCACGAAGTTCTAATGAGAAACCGGGTTCCTGTTGGGTCAACCAGTCGGAAGGGGAGCAGATACCAACTGAATATCTTAGTGGAAAGCCAAGCTATATCGTGAATCGACAGAAGTTGTAAACACACGCATTCATACCGTGAATAGATGTGAGTAAATGAAATATTGTCTCCAGATCTTATCACCTTATATCATGATAAAGTGATAAGGTGAAAAAAACTTCCCAAATGTTGTCTGACTTCGAATTCTCTGTATCTTCGAAGCTCTTGACATCCATGTGGAGTAACCTCAGCTATGCGCGTCTTCTTTCAAAGTCATTCTTTTCAGTCTTTGAACTCATAGCTTTCTTTCACAGTTCACTTCTTACTCAGTTTACTAATAATTTTGATCTAGCTGGTTAACGAAACCCACACATCAGCCTGAGCGCTTTCTAACTATTCAAGTTATTCAGCTGTAGTATCTTTGATGACAGCTCATATATTTTTTTCCTGTATATTTTCTTGATAATGCGTGATGATTGAAGGTGAAATTAAAATTTGGACCGCGGCCGGATTCGAACCACCCAACATCGGGTTTCCGGCCAGATGCTCTACCAACTGAGCTATGAGGTCCAACCACTGAATAGATTTTTATTTCATTCCAATCATCAAAATTTTTGCCTGACTACCATGTGAATTCGTGGCCCGTTAGTACACCTTGATCGTTTTCAAACTGGTCACCTAGTCAGGACTTCTCATCCCAATCTAAGTCTAACTGAATTAGAAAGGGGGTGCGGGAGCATCATACTGATTATCATTTTGACTATCTGAGACAGTCTTCATCTGGTAGACTTGATAGTAGGTGGTGATTTTGCAGACAGTAGAACACTGGGCCGGAAACTCGGTGGTAGCTGGTTCGAATCCGACCACGGTTCAAACTTTCATTTCATCTTCAATCATCACACATTATCAATACTGGTCTGCCAAATGACAGCTTTATCAGATAAACAAAATGATATATGTTCTTGCTATGCTTGACAAACCTCCTGTATCTATCAGACTTTAACATCAGCACAACGGAAAAGGTACAAATTTATGACTGCACAGCTGTGAGAATGAAATTGTCAAAAGAGATGCTTCGCTGAAACACTTGTTCTTGTCTCATGTCTTGAAGGATATGTTTTGGTCAGTGATCACCACTCCTGACAAAACTTACATCTCTGTTTGTCCATCACACTGATGGCTTTAGTAGTGGAATAGTTTTACGCAAAGCCTAACATTGGTAATTGTATTTTACCGTATCTCATGGATTTTTAATTCTCGAGCCTGAAGAGAGAAAAAGGTTATTTCAGCAAAAACAACCGTCCGCTCAAATTGTTCCAACTCATGTAAATGTCTTACTGCGCGATGTTCTACACTAATTTAGTTAATTCTGTAGAAGATCAAGTCAATTATTCCATGAATGTGTATGCTGACTTGATCCTGGCAGTATAGTTTTTTGATGTCAGTCGAATTGAAGTTTTAGTAAAGTAAAGTACTGAAGTTGTACCTCATTGATTCAAGAATTTGACTGGAAACTGCTCGGCCACTTATTGAAGTCTGTTTCATCCATTTCAATCTAGCCAACGGAATAAGACGATGACTTATGGTTTTCTAAAAAAGCATTGAGTTTTTTGTTATTCGAACTGTTTGAGATAGACTTAACTTGAAAAACTGTTCTTTCATTGGAATTAGGAAACAGCAGGCTATCAGCTGAGCACAATTGCCGATCAGCCCAACTGAAGTCACTGGAGACTTTCCATGTTACTGATCAGCATGACAGCCTGACAAAACCTCAGACAGTTTAAGAAGGCTGGGACCCTACTAGTCTCTTAGCGTCATAGCTCTACCTGCAGAGTACTAATCTCATAATCTGGAGACCGGGATTACCTTATTTGTAGAAAAAACCTACTTTCCATCAAAATGATAAGAACACACTGGTTATCTAAGGCAAGATATATTCAAATGAAGCAAAGATTCCTAACCAGAAAAATGTCGCTTTCTGGTGGTCTGCTTTCAGACGCTCCACAGTTGAGGCAGATAATAACAAATCATGACTCAGTAGTCCATTGGAAAACGCTCAACGCTTGAATTAATGGGTGATGGGTTTGAATCTCAGTTGGAACAAGATCACTCAGCGAAAGATAGGTACATCCAGCTGACGAGTTCCACATGTGATAAAGCACAAGTCCCGGGTCCTACTGCTACGCACTGTTCATCGTGAGTATGAAGAGCAAAAAAACTAGAAGTGTTGGGGCATTTTCACAGGAGCCCGTACTCTTATTGTGGCTGATCAGTTTGGTCCAGCCAACGAGGGAGATTCGCAAATTATGACATTAAAACCATAGCCAGCGTATCACGGAACAACTATCTACCTCAGTATTTAGCAAAAGAACGAATCAAGTCCATAAGAAGCTCTGTTGAATACTTTGGTTTTCGTAAGGTGTGCAATAAGACTGCCAAGATCCTCATCGAAAGCCCCAAATTTCTGAAGCCCTTCACAACCACTTGTCCAGCCTCAACGGTTCGAGAAAAAAAACTTGAATATTCGTATAAATATCATGTTGGCTGAGGAGGGAAAATCAATAGGATATAGCCTTCCACAAAAGGGGCGGAAATAGCCAAGTCCATTGCATATATATGGTAGTGAGGTTCGTCAGGTGAGTATATGTGCTCCAAGAGCCCATATACTCTGAGTGACCCATGAATTCAGTCTATTGCAATAAACAACAGAGGAGTAAAAGTATCAATAAACGATGAATGAAATAGCTTAGAATCAGAAAACCTGTAAGATTTGAAAAGACAACATCGTGAGGTCGAAAGAATGGTAACTTGAATAACCTTAGTCTCTTTGTGCATAGAACAGGGTGTAGATGCCTCATTACCTTGTTATTGAAGGCTAAATAATTCACTATGATTGGCTTAATGTTTTATTGATAATAGGTGATGACTGAAGGTGAAGTAGAAATTTGACAGACGGAAGGATTCGAAACTGTCTTGTGAGTTACCACTCCAGTGCTCTACCAAGCTAGTAAAGCGTAATAACAGCTAAGTGAACTGATAATGGGAATTTCGAGTATTATGATATAAGTCATTTAAAAGTTTTAACTTACTGAAAATATTGAAGTATGGTTATTCCACTGATAACACTGATCATAGATATTATGTAACCAATTAAGAAGCAAAGAAATATTAAATATTCATCAATTAACTGAAAAGGAAAAGAAATGAACAAGGAAATATAAATAAGTAGATAGAAGACAAAAAGCCACTACTAATGAAACAAGTCAATTCAACCGTTGAAAGGTGTATCATATCTACATTTTTGGAGTATTCAATTATACTAGAATTGATGTTTATTAGTTGGTTGAAAGTTTCGTGACTGCCAGAAATTGTCAGTAAGATGTATCAGGAATTTTAAAGAAAGTGATATCTCCTGTGAGATTCAAGCTCATATTGCCCAAGGTTCTAGTCAGCGATGCTACCACTGAGTTATGTGCGCAGTGATTGTTCCCTCCTTTCGAGGGATTCAATCAGATACTCTGATTTTGTTTCATGTTCTCAAGTCATGAGTTCTGACTGTATTCTACTGATGTTTGTCATATACTGATTGGCGTTAAGATAATTTAGTACATTTTTTGTCAGATCTTGACAATTGAAGCATACAGTGAGTGCTAAAAGATGGTTATTGTCTCTTGTGTTATTTACTAGAAGGCAGGTGTGAAGAATTCCTACTCAATCTAGGTATAATCTCAAATAGAATTGATCAGTGCGCTTGAACAAATTTATATCCTTTCAGAGATTTTGACCTATATCACATAGTCCTGACGTCAGAGTTTCTGTCACAAAAATTTCCAGAGCGTGGCGGACCCCTCAGTTTTTCAGTTGTGTTCAAAGGTCAGTCTTTAGACAGCAAATGATGTGACTAGCAACTGGAGATTGTCAAGTGAATTGATACTACACTGTTATGTTCAATGTGACACTGAATATCGTTTCAGGCAAATGAAACTATACCGACTTCAAGATGTTTCTGAATGAATAAAAAGCGATTACTGATGGAACTGAAATTACAGGTAATATCCAAGCATCTATGGTAGAGCCAACCAACCAATAGAGGCCGATCAGTTCCGTCAAGTCAACGAAAGATACCCACATGCTATAAAATGAGAACTGTACTATGCTCATTGTATATACAGGGGTTATTGTGACTCATTTACCCGGTGGATAAGACTCTGTTTAGCATTTGGAGCGATCTATCCCGGGTTCGACTCTTAATGGGAACAACAATGACTGGGAGACAGATACACGGAGTTGACGAGTTCCAATCAAGATGAAACTCGTATCAATGATTCCACTGATAGAAATTATCCATCATTAGCACACAGCAACGTTTTAAATAAATTCAGCAGAAATGAAAAATCTATACTTTGGTGAATTGTATTCTGAAGTCCGTCTTACAGTTTATCAATGTAAATGGCGAAGCAAATCTGATCATCACTTTATTTTTGGACTATATCTGAGTATTTCAAGTTCTTGATAAATGACATGTGTTCAAGCGTTTGAAATCAATTTCTTATGAGACCTCCACCAAGTAAATTTGTACCATAGAAAAGTTTTCAGTAGGTATTATATCAGCATTACATCCAGTACGATACTGCTGACAATGAGTTACACCATGCACACAAAGAATATGCAAAACAGAAGGACGTAAAACAGTCTGTTGACAGATTTGTACCGGGAAATAAATTCATGCAGTAGACTATCTTATACTTAATTCTGAAGAGAGCAGCCGATTACAATCAAACAAACCTTTTGGTTTCTTAAATGTGTATCAAATTGGCATTTAACAGATTAGCATTTATTTAACAAGGAATGGTCTTGTCTACTCAAATTCTACCTGAGAATGAATGAACCCAGTACCATTGACAACAGTCTACCATCCAGGTTAAGCGCATAAGCATGTTGCAAGCAGCTTCGAAGAAGCACTTTAACTTTGGAAAACATTTGCAGATGCTTTTTGCTAGTGACTGATTTTGCAGTCAAATCTCCACAGCTTCTCAGACTACAAATTTGTCTTACGATAAACTTCTTCAAATTAGTCTTCAAAAAGCAAAAAAGTGGCGACAGACGAGCATTTTGCGTCTTTCAGTTGATTTTAAAAAATGCAGAACTATTTGTAAGTTTCTTAAATCTTTATAAAACAATTTGATGGAGAATCGATGATATCTTATCTAATAGGCGCTCATAGAAACTGATTCCACCTGGAGGATAGTTTGTAACACAACCAGATATCCCCTGATAGATTCTCGGTTAAGTGACCCAGTGTTGCAACCATAAATTTCAGAGGTGATTAATCTCGATTGAGGCTAAATTAGATGTATTGGTTCGTCACTGGATAGTAATCACTCTCAGTGGAGACATCAGTAACATCGAGTTTGCACATTTTGGTCAGCATTCGAGACTAGACAACACATATTATTATTATATTATTTTTCCCTTGGGTTCCTAGTGGAACATACGACTTCAGTAGCGCGCCTCCATTCCACTCTGTTCTCTGCAATCTTTTGAACCTGACTCTACGACAGTCCACAAGCTCTTATTTCTTCCTCACACACCATCTCCTCCATATCACCCTCGGACACCTAACTCACCGTTTCCCATCTTACTTACACTCGAGGGTCTGGCCTGACGCCAGATGTCCTCAAATGGTCGTCTCAGTGCATGCCCAATCAATCTCCATCTCCTTCTACTGCATATTTGTTCAAAGATAGGTTCTTGCTTAGTTGGTTCGTTGCCAGAGTCAGTTTCTTGTTGCTTATTCTCATTATTCTGGCCATCTGAACTTCAGTGATGAGTGAGTGTAGACGGCAGTTGTTGATGAATGTCTGCAGTTTGTTGGGAATGCTGTTCGTAAGGCGTCAAGTCTCTCAACCATCACATAGAAACACTGACTTGACTGGATTGGTGTTCAAAATCCGGATGTTGTTCACGCTTTTTGCTGAGTGCAGAAGATCTACACACTGGTTTCTGTCTAATGAACGCCTGTCTTGCTTTTCCGACCCTGGCTGGCTTTCACATCCTCATCTGCACCTATGCCACCTGTAGATGAAACGATACTGCCTAGATAGGTGAAAGAGACTACTTCGTTTAAGTTTCTTCCATTGGTGGTGATTGGAGCTTGTTGTTGTTGGTGGTGGTTGCATTGGTTGGGTATCATCATCACCTCTGTCTTCTCTACGTTCACTTGAAGTCACATCTTCGCTGGCCTACCTCTTCTGTCAACTTGTTAGTTTTCGCCTGTAGATCTTCAAGTTTGTGTCACAAGACATTAGACACAAGTCATCGGCGAAATCCAAATCTTCTAGGTATGTTTTCGCTGTCCAGCTGGCATATCCGCCTCTTCTCGCTCCTCACTGTTCGCTGCATGATCTAGTCGACCATAATCAGGAATATTATGGGTGATAGTAGACAGCCTTGTTTTACTCCTGTCTTCAGTTCAAAGGCATCACTGAGATTCATATGAAATCAGTTATTTTTCGGACAGGAATTAATGTATAGGGCTGTGTGCTTATTGACAAAATTAGATAAATGTTTTGCTTCACGGTAGATCGGATGAAGCTGAAAATCTTGAACTATGCTATCTCAATCAAGCAATTAAATACGAACACCTCAGATTTTTCCCAAGTTTGATGTGAGGATACATACTCAACGATCTAATTGAATGAAGGTTGCGCTATATCATGAACCGACAGAAGTAGGGAAAAGTTAACCATCTGATTGCAACCCATTATCTAAGTGTTAACGTGCTTATTGTGGAACCTGAAGGTCATGACCTTCAGGGATATACCTTAGAAGTTGTATATTGTGGTGAAATAGCTGTCAAGTGCTCTCAGGCTTCCAATGATCCTCCAACTGATCTCAGTGTCTGATGAATACTAACTTGAAATCGGCAAACGGCCACAATTCTTCAAATTCAATTTCCTATAAGTTAAGATCTGTTCATGTTCAACTGTTTACAACTAATTTTTAAGTAGTTAAGGCATATGATAGTTAGTTTTTCAAAATATGCATGTACGAGTTCAATTTTGACCCCATAAAGTTTGAAGGAGGAAAATAACCATCCAAATCACTTTGATCAACCAGATGATCGATGCTATTCTGCGAACAAACCACATTTTCATCATTATTCTGTATCACAGTGGTTGTTTGTATTATATTGTCGTTGGTTGGGCCGAATTGATCGGTCCCTATTGGCGCATGAGCTCATGTGCGGATACCTCAATATTACCTGTTTTTAATTATAGTAATGATTAATAGGGGCTAGCAGTGGAATCCAGGATGCTCATCTGGTGCCACTTGGGACTCGTGGCTCGTTGGTCTAGTAGATAACGCTCTGGCGTTTAAAGCGATGCATCCCGAGTTCGAATCCCGGTAGGAATAACATGATTCACTGGGAGGCAGGTACATGCAGCTGAAGGGTTCCAAATAGGACGAAATGCACGTATTGAAATCCTCTTTTAGCCACTACCCACCGTTAACGTTACTTATTGTTGTATTTCGGTGAACCGAAATATTGGTTACAATTGGCATATTATCTCATACCGCGTCTGTCTCATCCTAGTATGCAGTGCCTCAGCAGTGTTCACTCATGACCCCACCGCATTACGGACCGAACTCAGGAGCTTCAGGTTCCATAGTGGGTACGTCATCACTGAAGCACTGGGTCGGAATCTAATGGTACACACTTTACTACTGCTGTTAGTTCGCTTTATAGCATGAAGTTCATATTCTACTTGATTTATCTCACGAGTTATAACTTCTCATCTGAACTTCAGGATGCTTGGGATTCAAGGAAAAATGAATACTAGATGTCTGTGAATTAAGATTTGTCTGATTTCTAGTCATAGTACTTACAGTCTGCAAACAGTAATTTCTAAAACTAATTTGAGAACCTAGACTACTAACCGGTCACTTTCTGAATTGGCATCACTACTTACTGTCAGAAATCATACGCTATTATCTTGGCTGCACGGTAGTTTTCAACAGAAATTCTGTTTACACCGCAGTTGGGCTGTTGACAAAAACCTACTCAGTTGTCAGAAACACCAACTTGAACGGTGAAATTTTGCAAATCATTCGCAAATTGATCAACCTATCAAAGGTATTCCATACTGGTCGGAACAAGTCAGCTAGCCAGCCAGACAGATTCAGATGACCTGAAGTAATTTGCCTCTGTGAGCTGAATACGTCCGAATACACCGCTAATCAGCTGATTCAGCTCTAAATGGTGACAAAGCGAAAGTTAAAGGACCGTTTCCATGAGATAATTCTGCTCAAAATGTAAGTTATCTGCAAATGAAGTGGCCTATATTTTGCTTACCGGATACAGGATGGTACACGCTGAATAATCAGCTATTTCTGCCCAAGTTCCATTTGGTAGACATTGACGAAAAGAATCGTCTAGAAAGAAGGAGGAAAGAAAAGGGGATTGAGCTGAGTCGTAAAAATTTTACTAGCAGTTGAAACTGATAAAAATAAGCCACAAACACTACTCACTGAACCAGTGATGAAGAAAAAGGCAACTTAGAAGCCAGTAAGCACATAGAGTGCACACAGATAAAAGTCACTTACATGTGAATGTGTGATGTCATACATATATTATCACTGATAGAAAATAGTGGGCTAAAAGCAGAATATCTGTCACCTACCTAGACAGCATCGTCTCAACTACAGGCATCACAGGAACAGATGAGGACGTCAAAGCCAGAATCGGAAAGACAGCAGGACAGGCTTTCATTAATCTGAAATCAGTGTGCAGATCTACCCTACTCAGTATAAAGCGTGAACAAGATCTGGATTTTCAACACTACTAATGTCAGTCAAGACAGTGCTTCTATGTGATGATTGAGACTTGAGGCGTTACGGAAAGCATTTCCAACAAATTACAGATATCATACATGAACAGCTGCCAACTACGCTCTCTCGATACTGAAGATGAAGATCAGATGGCCAGAATAATAAGAATAAGCAACAAGGAACTCAATCTGGCTGCCAACGAACCAGCGAAGTAAGGACCTACCGTTCAACAAGTATGTAGAAGAAGAAAGTGGAGATGGATTGGATTGGGCATAGACTGAGGCGACGGTTTGTGGACATCTTGCATCCGGCCAGGCCAGTCCAGGTTGTTGAGTGGAAGGCGAATGAGGAAGGATGAGTTTGGTGTCCGTGGTGAGGGTGACATGGATGAGATAGTGTGAGGAAGAAATGGAGGCTTGTGTGGAGATGTGGAACCAGGTTGGAAAGACTGCGGATAAGGGAGTGAAGTGGCGAAAAGCTACCGAAGCCCTATGTTCCACTGGGAACCCAAGGGGACAAATAATGAAATAATAAAAAAGAATGCAACTGGGGGAAACATGATTCGCTCTGTAGAAGTTTAGGAAACATTCAATTATTCGATGTAATTAATCTGGGAATAACCGCGTTCAAGGAAGCTGTTAAAATGGACCGAAGAAGTGAAGATACGAATCTGAGACGAATAGTATCGGTGGCCTTCTATTTATAGGAATAAGTGCATAGTAATAATGTATAGCTTAGGTGCAAAGGTCTTTAGTGACTCCTAGTTCAGTTCTTTACGATTCACGGTTTTGTAATAATCGTATGATGGGTAAAATCAACAATCGGTCATTTCCTGGGTTACTACGTGTAAAATTAATGACTTCATTTTTATGAATAATGGTGCATTGTGATCTTTTCATTCAGTTGGTTATATGTATAATTCAAATCGTACAGAATACCGGAGTAGAAAGCCATCTGTCTCTGTTTTTTTATTGCACGGCGGAAGGAGAAATCAAGGGTTGGATATATTTCATGAGCAAAGTGTAGACGAGTACAGTGACGTTCAGACGTTAGCGTGCAGAAAGTGATAATGGTTACCATTTTTTCTTAACTCAGCTGAATTTACGCTGAAAGTAGAGGAACTGAGTGAGGAGACTCGTGTAAAAGAAACTATTTTACACTTCATGTTCGTATGAGAATTGAGGAGAATACTCTGTGGTTGAAGCGACAATAGATGCAGTTAACTACTGGTTTTCGTCATCTTGCCTCGAAGTCTAATTACTAACAATTCAAATCTTTTCTAAACTCAGCTTCTACATCAAACTTGGATTGCAAACCTTTTTGCAAGCAAGCCAATTAGATTTTATAAACTTTATTAAGCTTCTGGTGTTATATATACTTGACAAAACAGTGAGAAGACGTCAGTTGTTTGAACCGTTTAATATCCTTGAACAACACATTTCGAACAATCTGATCATATATATACCTGCCACAGCGATTAACATGAAAGTATATAAAGAGATAAGAGATGTTAATATAGAAAGAGGTCAAGTAGAAAGGCTGAATTAAAGACCAAGACAACAATGAGAATCAATGGAGCGGGAAAAAAATGGTACATTGAACTTGGTTTCACGGTTGAATCCACCAAAGGAGGTTTAATGTGATGACAAATTATTTTCTAAAACACCGAGGCAGCCCAAACTTCCTAATAGCTGAGGAGTCGAAGTAGAAAGGTCAATCCTGCGATCTGTCTTGACGATATGTTTTGTAGCCGAAGAATTTGGATATCTGCTACCAACGCTTATGGGTCCACGTGGTTAGAGTTGCTTTCGAAACCACTCTAAAATATGCTCCCAAAATCTTATTTGCATGGATTTTTGCATCCTTTCTACGTATATATCACCACACATACATTTGGATTTTTAGATGAACTGGGATGTGACATTATCATTCGCATGCTATAAGGGTTTATGACAGTATACAAGCTTGGCGGTTTCCATTAATTAGACCCTAGCGCCATTTTAAGTGCTTCTAATAGCAGCATTAAGTCTCTGCTTAAGAATTGTGTCACAAAAGTCACTTCTGTAAGGAAAACTGATGAAGACGTTTTTCTTCGGGATAAAGTGAAGAGTTGGTCTCTCTACTCAGTCTTCTTTGTGTCTATTAATAAATTTTGATGGGTAGTTAATTTCCAACAGTGTTTCAACCAATATTCCTCCTTCATCTTCTGAAGTATCATCTCTGCAGATTCATTGAATTCTACGGAATAAGCAACTAACTAGCAGTCGGTTGTTCTGAAGTGGATAAAAGCTATGGTAATTCAAATGTTGCACTGTCTATGTAGGTTTTCTGTAGACGTCGTTTTACAGATTCATCCTGCCGCTGACTAATTATTATGTCTATGACAGACAAACAGTCATCATCCTCTTCAACATATATCGAGGACATGCCGTTCTGCGCTTCATTCAGTCAGATTATCACTGAAGTGGGGGTTTTATCCATTGTGCACAAATTTTCTCTTCTTAACATGAGGTCATTACTGTTTGGTAATCTTTGTGCAATTTGAAAATCTACACCACCAGCTGAAATCCTTTGTTCTAACTTCAGCTGACGATCAAGACTGGTTGGAAGCTAAGATGGTGGATACCACTAAGCAGTTTTATAATAGATGTCAGAAGTAGAAAAGCACATTAACTCCTAGACATTTCAAAAATATGAAACTACTATGAGACAATCTCGATAATATTATCCTCAGACCCGACAAAAGCTCGGGTGTTGTGATCATGTACAAAATTGAGAATAAATGTAAAATGTTTTCTATACTTGAAGACGAGAATAAATTTACTAAGGGTTACTCTTCGCTCTCTATATACTATCTTGCTGACGGCAGTAGGAGAGTAAAGATTTGTCAAAAGTGAATAACGTCAGTGATACTTGTAACTTTTTGCCGCTATACTGGGTTTAATTGCTCGATCTCTTTTGAGAGACGAATATCCTGTGAGGATTTCTCGATACTATTAGGATATGAATTATACTGTAGTGATTGGTCTTATGCCCCAGTGGCTTAGTGGATAACGCCACGACATTTGAAGCTATGGGTACTGATTTGAAGTTTCGATGGGTACAACTACTTCCGGCTGACGAGTCTCAAATAGGATGAAACGTCTGCCCTAGATTCTATTGCTAGTTAACAAGCAGATTGCAAAGCCGATAACCGTTTATCTGTAATTCATAATGGATAAGTCTTCACACAATTCAACCGTGATACAAATAGATAAAAGGGATTATTGCTAGTTATTGCAGATTAATGAATGACCTGAAAATCGGGATTATTTTGGTTGAACAGGTCAACTAGAAGTGAAAATAATGTAACCTGAGCGTGGATACATCCAAATTAGGTGATTTTTAATATTTTTTCTCAAATTTGAGTGTCATAGATGAAATTATGCGTGGGATAAAGGTGTAAATAGCCTGAGAATAACAAAAACTAGAGATAAGAAAGGAAAAATAATTCTTGGTTAACACTTAGTGTTTTTTCCGCCAGTTATGAGCAATATTATTCCGTGCATAATTCACACTTACCAGTAGTTTAACAAAATTAAATGTATGAATGATGATGTCATTGGCTATAATGCTTATCTACATGGGTTAATAGCTCAGGGAAGGGGTCGGGAAATTGAGTTTTGAACCAGTAACATTTACTGTACTGACGGTCAACAAAACTTTGTACTGAATGTTTTGGAGTCATTCATCAGGAGGCTGTGTTTCATAAAAGTATTTTTTACGTATGTGTGGGGAATAATAAAAAATGTCAGCTCTTTTGCAGTGTCTTGGACTTACGTCAGTCAACCTCGAATAAGATGGATATTCTAATATTCAGCTAATTGAAGCGTGACTGATTTCGTGTTTTAAAGGTGTATCGAGAAACTAACTGCTCCATTTTCTTGACACAACGTCTAAAAATGTTTATTAGTGACTAAGTGGTTACTTTCTTCTTAGTTTATTTTCTTTGTTTTACACTCAATACGTATATCTTTTACTCAACATCTGGTCGAATCGAACAGAAATGCTGTCAGAAACCTTGTGCACATTAATGCAACCCTATTGTGTGACGGCTAATGATACTACCTGACTCCCTAAACCTAGGCAGATGGAGCGGTGTAGGGTTGAAAGTCGTCCGTCTAAGCCGATGAACCACAGTTCCACATTTAAAAATTATACTTTATTACAGGATAATTTGCGAACAGTTATGTCCGTTCTTTATTCTTTAATTTGCCTTCAATTGTTACTTTCTAGGAACTAGCCTGATCATCTCCGTAGCCTAACAGATAGCTAAGGTAGGTTGGTAGAAAATAGCCAATAGGAAAGTCTGTTCAGTCAATGATATAACAAGCAAACATAACTGGTAATCCCACGAAACTTCATCACTGTAGGCTACTGAACCAGTGCTGGGTAAATACTGATACCTCACTTCATATAAAATTCAGTACTGTTTATATCTAGAAAGACAATGAAAGCTTCATGATTAAACCATTTAGCTGAGAAGGTCCACTGCTAACAAGGCTTACCATTTTGTTCATGTGATTTTCGCTACATGATTCCACAATCTCTTCCATTTATGTCTC